ATCTTGAAACATTCCAGACTTTTGAGTGTCTCCTTGCAATATGGAAACAAGAAGGCAGGAAGGGGGATGACTTTGCTGAACTGGGAAGGCAGTAGATGAGGGGAGTGTGCAATAGTAACTCACCAAATCCTGAAGTGTTAGAGCTCAGCGATAGTAGATGAAGTGGTTAGGTGGTTGATTTAAAGCAGATGCACAGTGTGATGAACTTCTGGAACTTGGTGCCATGAGGAATTGCGGAAGCAGCTAGTATCAGCAGGTTTAAGAAGAGGTTAAACGCATGCACAACTGAACCATAAACAAGTACTAAGAGGAATGGACTTTCATGTCCCTACTACAACAGTTAGGGATGCTGGGGAGAAACCAGAAGGTATGCACAATAGGCTTATATGGTCTCTCTAGATAACACTTGCTGTTGCCAGTGTCCCCACTTGCAGGGTGGGGTTAGATGGACCATTGGTTCAGACCTAGAAGGGCAATTTTTGTGTTCCAGTTACGAGCATGAGCAATAACGTTTTTGAAACGAGCAAGAAAAGGATGGAAACCATACGGAAGCATTCTGAGTATTCCCTTCCTTGGGGTGTTGTGGTTCCGTGCATTTTGTCAACAAGCATTTTGCTAGAAATGTGACAGCTGCTTCAAAATTGCTGATGCGCTGCTTAGCTGTGGCAGTGATGAGGAAGGTCAGCTACGACTTGGAAAATGCTGCTGCACAGAACATGCTCTGCTAAACCAGCTGGTCAGAAGCACCGAGTCTCCTTTTTAAAGGACTTACGAAGAAGCTTTCAAACTCTAGCTCGTAAGTGACTTGGAGGATCACAATTTAGTTCAGGTGAATAAAAAGATATGAAAATGAGCTTACTGACAAATGAAAAGTTTACTATTTTGCATACTGCGACCATTGTCTTTCATTATAGCTTCAGGTTTGTTTTATTTGGTCTCATGCACGTTAACTTAATTACCTTGTAGAATGTTGCTTATTGGTGCGTGGCATGAGGCAGAAAGCTGATTTCCAGACATCAAGTTCTTGGAAATTAATTGAATTACGACTTTAACTTACTGTCGAGGGGGGAAGAAACAAGCCAGACATAGCATGGTTCCCTGGTTCACTACATTATTTTGCTGGTCCTTCTAATTGTATTAAACCCACCTTAAATATTCTTTGATTTGTCTCAGATACAAAGGGGAAGTTTGGGTTGTTCTGGTTAGATCTTCACCAGCTTGTTTTAGTGAACTCAGCAACCCACTTCCAGTTGGGTGCCAGATTTCAGCCAACCTGAATGCGAATGTTTGTGGCACTAAAGTGGGCATATATGGCTGCAGGAAATAAAATCCTGTACTGATAAATTTAATAGTTCCTTATCTGACGGTCACTGTAACGTTTCAAATTAAAGGGATAACAGTAAGGAAAGGTAAGTGGAGGTGGGTAGAATTACAGTGCTTCTTTATACTGTCTGTGCTCGCAACTTTTCCTTTCTTTTTGAAGGGCCACTTTTTAGCCTTACGGGTCTCATAACTGCAGTAACACTAGAGGTGATTTTTCTCTTTCCTTTTTGAATTTCCAGTCAGAGCACATGAGGTCTAGCCAACCATGAAGTGTTCATGGCGAAAAAGCCTTTCAGACTAAAAAAACTTCTGTTACGGTTTTGGGGATTTTAGTTTCTTTGGGAATGCCATGAAGTCATCATCTGGATTGGAAAAATGGGAGTTAAATATGCACTGTGAAAGTATGCTTGAATCCTGAAAGCTGGCTGTGAGAGCTTGCTGGAACTTGCTCATTTAGTGTTGCTCACTGTACATCTGTGTCATTTCGAATGCGTTATCTTCATGGGACTAACCTATCTGAGCAAAAATCTCTTGAAAAGTAACTGTTACAGTTGAGATTTTTATACTGGGAATAGTCCTGGCAGCGTTTCAGACTTCACAGTGCTGACTGAAGTTTAGTGCATTGAAAAAAAGGAGGCTTTTTCTGAATTACCAGGTTATGAGAGTTCTGAACCTAACCGAATGGCCATTTCTTCTTTTCACATTTGTTCTGTTTTCGTGCAGGTCCTCATGCGGAAACCGCCAGTGGATGCCAGAACTTGCAGTGTGGTTTTCGGGCCTGCTGCCGCTCTGGCGAATGACCGCTGACTCCTGATCTTTGTCTACTTCATTTAGCTGAGCAGGCTTCCTTTCATGCACTTTACTTACAGTTCGCATCTTGTGTTACCAATCCTCGGAGTGAGATCTGTTATACTAGCCTGACCCTGCCCACAACTTTAAAATCTTAATTATGCGTGTACTGTACAGTGTTGTAACAATCTCACAAAATCTCATTTGGTTTGAAAGGTGTCGGGTTTTGTTTTACTTAATTTGGGGAAGATGGGAAAACATTCAGTTTTTTTTTTAATGCCACTTTCTTGCAAGTTTGGCACTTAAATATAGTTTACTGGATTATTTTGTGTTAAGTGATTATTTTTTTTTTAAATTTTGAATCCATAAGTACAATATAAAGCGCTGCAAAGAATTTGAAACGTATTGTTTGCATTTGGGTAAGAATTATACATCTTTAAGAGCCTTGTTTCTCCCCTTTTCCTCTCATCCTGAAGTTGTTCTTTATATTGCAAAATTAGGGAAATTCCCCCCCTTCCTTTTGCATTTGGTTTTGTATTTGGGCTTGAAAGACATACTCAAATAAAACATTCCCACCAATAAAAAGAATTATGTCGCAGTTGAATATATATGCTTTAAGGTGTACTATCCAGGTGTACTGTGCCAGTAGGCTGCAGAGGGTGGGGGTGAGTGGGTGGTGTGGTGCTTGCAGAGGTGTGGGGGGGGGTTTGGTTTTGGTGGGTTTTTTTTGTTCATTTGTGTTTTTTTTTTTTTTTTAATCCCATGTCTGTGTTAAGATGTATTTTTGAAACAGCTTTGCGGGAGGTCAGTTTTCATTTGCATGAAATCTATGGAAGACAACAATATGTTTTCCCCATTGCTTTGTTTTTTAAAAAAGACCCTTCATTGAACAGTAGAGACTAGCAGGGAGGCAGAGAATCCACTGCTGGGCTGAGTGAAACCTGCGCTAGGAGGAGAGATGAGTAATGTATGAGTAGTGCCTGAGCATGTGCACGGGGCGGTGTGGGAAGAGCCTGTTGCAAGAGGCAGTACTGTGGCCCGTGTGAAGTCAGCAGTTTTAATGGCCGCTGGCCCGTATGGCTGGCGTAGCTGCAGGTTGTTGTCCTCTCGGGCAGAGCAGGGGTAGGTGGCCACCGCTGTAGAAGGCACAAAAATTTTCCCCTGTTCTGCCTAATATTGAAGGCTGATTAATTCTTATGAGTAGTATTTATTTAGGACAGCAGTCATGGTGGCATATAGAGCTTTCAAGGTTCTTGGTGTCTGGGGAGTCAGCTTACAGGCGTAGCTGGAGATTACAGTGAGCTGCAAGTTCTGATACTGCCTTGTTCCCAGTAATACAGAGGAGTAGTGAGGTAAGCACAATACTAGTGCGTGTAGGGTTGGAGCAGAGTCAGCTGCTGTGGTTAACAGCTGAACATGGGCTGTAGGCAGAACGTACAGCGCTTAGTCAGAAGCCTACAGAAGAGGTATAAAAGGATACAGTTGTTCCAGCAACTGTTGCTTCAGGTAAGCTGTGTGAAATTTACTTTGGCGCCCAAAGTTTATAGTGGATACGCGGCTGTGTGCGCAATGCTGACAGGCAAGATGAGAGTCAGGAGGCTGGTGGTGGGCTTTCTGCATCTGCCCATGTCCTGGTGCGCCTGCCCACCCTTCCTCCAGAGCTCACTCGCGCCCTCGCTCCAGAAGTCTTGTTTCTGAGGCTGGAAAGGTGCAGCTAGAGGTCCTTCTACATGCTGCTAGATGGTGTGTTCTGTGCAGATTGGTAGAGACACAGTTTAAGGCTGAATCAGCTGCAGAAAATTCATTCACTTACATCATGTTTCTTTCTTACCCTTCTTTGAAGGGGAGAGGGACTAAACTCACTAGATGTCATCAATGTTGTACAGCAAAGCATCATGATGACAGTGTAGCTAGGTGCTCCCTTCCTTCTGCTGGAGGTTCACAGAGGGGAACCTGTAGTGGCGACCCCAGGCTGTAAACTAAAGATTTTGTGTCTAGTATTTATTAGACAGACTGAATCTAGCTTGGAGTTAAGCGCAAGAACAATCTCAACTTTGACATGTTCTGATGAATGTTCTTTCTAAGCTCAACCCACAGTCATTTCCGCATCGAAGAGTTTGTTTAGCAAGATAACTGCAGGAAAAGGAGATTATATTTATATTGGCATTAACAGTTAACACTGCTACTTACTAATAAGCTAATCTGATTTTTGTATTATCTTGATAATCTTTTACTCTGGTAACTTGCAGATAAGGATTTCACACTCCAAAGTAATGAAATTCTTTCATAAAATGAGTGAACTTACACTTTTTGGTATAAATATTTATTATAAAGTACTTTGTCTTTAGCCTTTAAAGAAGATGTCATCTTACACGTCTAAATGACACTGGTATTACACAGACACTAAGTATGAAGTAGCAGAAGCATCAGCCTCTCTAAAAATTCAAATATGGCCTTCACTGATGGCTCCTAGGTGCATAAAGTTTATTCATGGGTAAATAGTCCTGGTCTTCATTCAGGAGCTCAGGCACCAGAAAAACTGTAACGGAACTGGAAAACTCCAACTATTTGTATTTGCCAGTGCTTTGAAGAGGAAAGGAGGTCTGTAGATAAAATAAACTGAACTGATTAGCTAAAAACATAGTCTTCAAGGCAGGATTCCAGGAACCCAGTTTCACCTGAAAATAAGGTGGCCAAACTCTACCTCTGCAATGTCACTGCATGATGTGGGCATGTGTAATGCTTTTCAGAGTGTGATGTCCCACTGGAAGCTATAAAATCACTTACCAGTTCTGGAATTTTAAGCTGTTGCTCTCTTCCTTAGTGGTAATAAGTAGTATTTTCAGCAGTTGTAGGGTGAATAAAGCTCATGTGTTTGTAGCTACTCAAAATCGGGTTCTCACTCAAGTTTTTTAAGCTCAAATCAGCAGTGTGAAAAATATGTTACATTTACCCCTACATAAGCAAAATTCTTGAGGGATTCTGACTGGTCTATACTACCTATTTCGTACAAGTGAAGCAACATAAATCCAAACAGAGAGAACATTTTGGGGATAAGCATGAATATACACAGCTAGAGCAAATTCAACATTGGAAACGTCAATGGTATGAACTCCTGTGCTGTGTACAGCTTCTATTAAAGGTCTGACTTCAGAAAATGGCATATGAATAGGAAATCCAGAGACCTGGAGAAAGAGAGAGGAAAAAACATGTAAGGTAAGAAGAAAAGGTAAAAGTACCTGAATAAATCCGTAATGTTAAAAATCTGTTTTACTGTGCGTGTAAATTTCTCTTTTCTATTGCTGGCCGGCGGATAATGCAATAAAGCAAGTCCCTTCTGTATTTTAATATCACCTCCCTATTTCACGTGCTCCAGGCAGGTTTCTGCCCCTTCTCCTCTTTAGTCTGGGTGAAGTTCAAAGTGAAGATGTTTATTCTAGTGGATTTCTAAAGCTTTATTATGGAACACATACAGCCAAACTTGGCTTCTTTTCTGCCTCTTATCTGATTGTAACTCATTGCATTCTCTTACCTGCACTGGCTGGGGATTTGAGGTGGCAAACATCTCCTGCCCATAATACATTTCAGGTCCAACAGGAACTGAAAACTCAACTCATTATGAAAATTGCCATAATTTCATAATACAGCAATACTGTGTTACGAAATTGCTACTACATCTGGTTTACATGAAGAGCAGAAGGACCTGACCTTTAGAACAGCCTGGAGGAAGAATGCATGGATACACCAGTGGCTACAGTGAATACTTAAGTAAGTTTTCTTGTGCTTTTAAAGAGCAGAAAACTGAATAAAGCAAGCTGTGTAAGCTCCTGCATCTCAAGTAGACTGTGTGTAGCACTACTCAGCACCAGTGCCGGGTTCC